TCATTCATGTATTTTTTAAATAATGAGCACCCCACGCACCCTACCATAAATGATTTGTCCAGCTCCACTCTCTTTCATAACCGTCCTCCAGTGAGACAGCCGTACTCACTGCGTGTAAAAGGCTTGTCACGGGAAATGGGCATCCCGCTTCAGCTCAACCTGATGCCTCCCGCAAAGGAGCTTCCACCATGGCATTGGCAGACTATCGAGTGTGATCTCTCCTTTGTACGAGTTACTAAACACGCACCACTCGCACACATACACACATACTTTCTTGAATTACAGCATGAATATTGCTACCCTGAACATTTCACTGAAGCTTCGAAATCGTATACTGGAGTGTCTTATGCGGTGATTGGCCCACCCTTTTCAGATGCCGGCGTTTTGTACCCACATACAAGTATTTTCACTGCAGAGGCGTGTGCCATATATTCTGCCATTAAGCACATTAGGCAATTAAAATTGCACAATTCAGTTATATACACAAATTTATTAGGTGTTGTAAAAGCATTGAAAATCCTTAAGAAACACAAAAACACTGTTATTCTGTCACTCTATTCACTGCTGTCTACCACTTACGCACTTAAACAGCATATTGTACTTTGCTGGGTGCCAGGACACCGTGAGATAAAAGGAAATGTACTGGCTGACAGTCTGGCTGCATCTGTCCAGGAGAGTGGGGCCAATGAATCAGTTTCTGTCCCTGCATTAGACCTCAAGCCGTTTATAAAGAAATTATTAAAAACACACTGGCAGCTCTTGTGGGATAGACAAACGGTAAATAAATTGCTTCTCATCAAGCTGCACCTTGGCACTTGGGTACCAGTGTCAGTCTTGCTACACTGAAGTCATACTTTGCAGAATGAGAATAGGACACACATACAGTATGCACGCTCACCTATTGTCCGGTGGTGACACACACCCATGTGGGAAAAATGCGGTGTACCACTTACTGCGCTTCACGTTCTCCTTCAATGCACTCATCTTGATTCCATCAGAGAAAAGCATTTTCCGTCTTATCGTCAACATTTCCCACTCCATCCTGCAATGTTTATAGGCAGTGAACCTCTTTTTAAATATTATTCACTCCTCCGTTTTTTATATTCGTAGTTTTAGCATTATGTATACAGGCAATCGCAGCACGGCCTCTTGACTGAGGTCGCTCTTGCGGTAGTATTTTCAAAGAAAGCAAGTGCCTCCAGCCCTTTGGAAACTAAGGACTCCAAGAGGCACGCTTGCTATTATTCATCAGTTTTTGCCTTTCGCCACGGTGATAACTCAACGCCCATCGAACACCCATCACTTTATGCATGATGGAAAAAATTTATTTTTTGTATACTATATACATCTGCGTACACTGATCTTGCCTCGCTCTCATGATTTGAGTATGTACATTTTACCCGCCTCTAGTGCGTGGACTTTTAAGGCCCTTATACAGCCTTGTACCATATTCATTGTTCATATGTTCTTGCCTCATTACCTGGCGCTCTTGGCCATCAAGTGGCCGCTTTAAAAAACACCATATATTATCATGTAATCAACCGAAAGTATGAGTTATCAAAGTTTGAATTATCGTCAGTCTACTGTAGCTGTCTTTTTAGGTCTTGTATTTCGGAGAGAAGTTTAGATTGCCCGGTAGGTAGTTTCTTCAGTTCTGTTAGCACCGCTGCTTAGTCAGTTCCTGGATTTTGCTCAACATCACCTAAGAGCAGCAACAGGAAACGTACAATAGCAATACATTCACCAATTAACAAATAAAGAGCTCGGCAGCAGTACCAAGAGGTAGTTCGTCATTCTTGTAGCGAATAAACTATGTGGTGAACTAACCTGCATGGTGAATAGCAACGGGTTAATGAACATTATAGTGGCACAGCCACCGAGCCCACGAAGCGAGTGAAGCATATCCGGTGGTTTTATAGCTGCTCCTATGACGGCTGTCAATGCTGATGGTGCCTCCTAAGCTGAAACAAGGACAAGGGGCGGCGGGGCTCATACAGCATTCTCAGTCGAAGCGCTGATAACTGCCCCTCCAAAATCTGCCATGATTGTCGCAGGACTATTGCTTGCATGATCGCAAGGAGTAGATTGAATGGGCATGTGTGTTGAAGCGATGCCTACCGGGTCACGAAGGAGCATCAGGATGATAGTCTCAGTTAACACCTGCATGGAGAATAGCAATGGGTTAGTGGACGTTCTAGCTGAGCCCACCAGTCATCAAGGTGCAAACCGGTGCAAAGCAAAAGTCGGAGATTCAGTAGTGGTCGGATATTGCCAAAGACATTGAGCATTGAGTCCATAGTAGTCCAATGTGAGCAGTGTGCACGCACTCGGATAAATGCAGCGGAACCGCTCATTTCCATGCCATTACCAGGTCGCTCATTGGAAGTTTTGGGTATGGATCTCTTTCACAGCAAAGGACGAAAGTTTCTGCTTGTCGTGGATTATTACTCTCGCTTCACTGAAGTTATTACCCTTCGATCGTCTACAGCTTATGCAGTCGTCGAGGTGCTCAAGAGCATATTTGCTCGACATGGTATCGCAGAAGTTGTGAGATCCGAAAACGGGCCACTGTTTTCTTTTCATGAGCTCAAGAAATTTGCTGACTCCTATGGTTTCACCCTCGTGACCAGCAGCCCCCATTTTTCTCAGTCCGACGAATAGGCTGAACAGATGGTCCGCACAGTCAAGGAACTTCTTGGCAAATCAAGCGACCCACATCTAGCCTTACTCAGCTACAGGAATACACCAGGGGTGAATGGCTTCAGCCCTGCTCGGCTCCTAATGGGGCGGCAAATCAGAACTTGTGTTCCGAAGATGAAATAGTTACTGCAGTCGTCTTGGCCTGCTAGAGACTCAGTGGGTGGCCGCTAGTGATGCGTCCTATCAAATGAAAGGCCAATGCAACTTAATCAGCGTCATCGGGCTCGGCCGCTGCCTCTACTGAAGACGGGAGAACAAGTTTGGGTTCAACCTGAAGGAGTCCGAGCTACTGTATTAAGTGAGGGCCAACGACCTCGCTGTTACATTGTAGAGACGGACCAAGGTGCAGTTTTGCAGCGTAACCGGCAACATCTGTTGGGGCTCTCACAACAGTACCAGATAGATTCTGAAATTCCTACAGGTGCAACGTAGGATGCTTTCCCTGCAAATTCGACGGTGAACATACTGTACACTGCAGCAAACCGATGTCGACTGTGATTCTTGTGACAATAGTGCTGTGAGAATGCGTAGTGGCCGCCATGTAGTTCCCCAGCCCGTCTGAACTTGTGGTGTCACCTGTGTTAAAGGGGCCCTGCAACACTTTTGGAGCATGGTCAGAAAACGCTGCTAACCAGTAGTAGAGGCTCCCGACAACACGCGAGCCAAATATTGTTGCGCAGCATGCGGCCTGGAATTCACAATAAATTATCAATGTCAGCTAAAAGTTGCTTTCTCTTCTCTCGACATATCACGGAATATGCCCAAAAATCACACGTAGAAAGCCCATCTATCAGCCATTGCCCGATTTGAACATGGCGCGCTCGCTCATTACAGAGATCACCGCGAGAAGCCCCTACTTGTCCACACATGCGGGTGTGATCACACTGAAATAGCTTTGGATTCGAAGAAAAAAAGTGCTCAAGGTCACGAGACGCACGTGAGGTTCTTCTGTGGCCCTACCATCCCACCCTGCTTAGCTTCCAGCGCTTTCGTCGGGGCGAGCGAAGAGAGAATGCAATTGCAGCATGCGATAAACCTTCGTAACTCTACTCGCAGTGGACGAATTCTTAAAATTTTTGCGGTGTTAAATTCGTGAGGCAATAAGCTCATCTAGTGAATTTATTCCATGGTTACTTGAAAAAGTGTTTAAGGGCCCTCTTAAAGCTATTTAGTGACGCCACCCGCGTTTGGAATTGGGATGGGTGTGCCTAAATAAAACACTTGGTTTTGTGACGCTCAAGAGTGTGGTCGCACCTGTTGTGTGTCTAGCTCCAACGCGTGTAGCGTCTCGGCCGGCCTCATGAACACAACAGTTACTAGTGAAAAACAGACTTCGTCGGTCTCAAGTTTGAACGAGTCTGAGTGATAGCATTTTGGGGCCTTCTAGCGTTTAACTACACAAAATTAGTGTCGAAAAAAATAAAACGCCAGACCAGTGCAGCTGGTTGTATTGCGTATTTATCAAGGCAAAGGTGCACCGCGATACACAATAAGAATTTCTATTTCGGAGATTCAAAATTGGAAGGGGGGGGGCGGGGGGGGGGGTCGATCTATTCTGGTCTGACATATATTCTGATTTTTACGGTACTGGGGGCACACATTTGTAAAGCTTTCATGCACAGGTAGTTCTTACTGTATCTTATGATATGGGAAAAATAAATGTTGCTGTTTCTGTGTAAATTTTACCAATGAAAGTGGGTTGTATGTTGTGGATAAAGCATTATTTTTATTTTATCTCGAGTGATCACTGATGTAATATTTTAACATGCTTGTGTGTTATGATCTTTCATTCAACTCAACTCCTAACGGTTATCTATCTTATTTCACTATCTAGTTATATAAGGGCCGGTATAATGTACGGGCAAATTTTGTTTGGTTGTATTCCTTTGTTATTGACCATTCTTCATGGCTGGCTGGTCCTGGTGATTACATAAGCATGGCACCATTCAGACCAATTATGAAGTCTAAAAAGGAAAGACAAAAAAACTAGGGAGATGCATTTCTAGTGCTTGAAGGAAAATGGGAACTATTAAAGAAATAAAATATAAGACTGGGAGGTTGCTGGAAATGTATGAAGTGTCTAAATTCTGACTAGCTCACCTCTGCCAGGAGATTTGGAATATTCAGTGTGTTCTGTATGTTGACCCTACCTGAATCATGCATTTCTGAGCATGTATTAAACTCTCCAAACTTGTTTTAAGCAGTCTCAATCTCTTCTCCCATAGGGCCTTTTTATTATTTCTCGATTCTCATTATTATGATGAAGGGTTGATTTTTCATTCAGTGCTGTTTGTGTGCAGGCAATTGTAAAGCACAAACTGATTCCTGAGCTGCTGGATGTGTTCTTGCCAATCATGGAAGAGGTATCACCTCATGACGTTGACGAAATGGAAGAGGAAGATGGGCAATCCTGCCAATCTCCATCAGCCTGTGCAGCCCAGGTACACCAGCATGTGTGGGAGATAAGAGGGATTTTATAAATGTGCAATATGTTGCACTCTGGTATATTTTCAAAATGTCTACCTTTTTTCGGTTAATTCATTATTTCACAACTTTTGTGTTATCTTGCTACTGTTTGTAATACATCTACTGTTATATTTCAATGTGCAACGAATGTGGGCACAATTTTACAGTCAAGATTTTTCTGGTTGTCAAGTTGGCTACATATCTGACTTATCTTTTTATAGTAAAAGCTTGTTGATTTGAACTTGGCTAATTCAAAATTTCAGGTAATTTGAACTGATGCCCTAATCGTAGCACAGTTTTGTGTATTTCTGTGGGGGGAAACTCCCAATTTGAATGCGTTGGTATTCACCACGATTAGTTCAAGCGTAGGCCCGCAGTGATCACAGTATGTTGCTAAACCAAACCAAGTTTACCAGCATACAAAGCTACTAAACAACAGCATTCCCCTGCACTAGATGCTGTGCTGGAGTTTTTGGGGAAACTGCAAACAATGCCTAATAAAGTCACAAGTGAAAAAATGTAAACAAATGCCAATTGCTGATTACTTCAATTTTCATTGCATTAACTTGACTTCTGAGTAAATGTGTTTTGGGACATAAATAACATGTACAATATTTGTGAAAAAATAAGCACGAAAGATGGGTAAAAAAAAGACGGTACAACAGGAACAGTGCTGAATGCACTAAACTTGTGACTACAAAAGCACGAAACTGAAACTGTAGAAAAAGATTCGTAGACAGTTTGCTAGCTAACATATTCCAATCCGAAGGCTGTACTTCCCATAATTCTCATGGGGTACACGATTGCAGTGCCAAATTCCTCTCAAGGTATTATTGTATGAAACTCTATGCATGCAACCCTGTGATAAGTATGGTCACACGTGAGTTGCAGGCTGGTTTGGTGGCTACAGTCTAACCCCTTTATAAGAGACAGTGATAGAAGAGACAAATGGGTATAAGAGACACCAGTGTGCCAATAGCGTACTTGCCAACTCTTTCAATTTTCTTGTAAAGTGTATGAATTTTGACCGCGCTTAGGTTTTTATGAATTTGGCCTGAAATTATACAGAAAATATGTCATTTCTGATTTAAAAAAATTAGCAAAATTGCATGGCCTCCGTGACTGGCTGCTGCGCATTGCCATAGCTAGTCGCGTAGGTCACAAACATGGCCCCGCCACGGTGGTCTAGTGGTTCAGGTACTCGGCTGCTGACCCGCAGGTCGCGGGATCAAATCCCGGCTGTGGCGGCTGCATTTCCGATGGAAGCGGAAATGTTGTAGGCTCGTGTACTCAGATTTGGGTGCACGTTAAAGAACCCCAGGTGGTATAAATTTCCGGAGCCCTCCACTACGGCGTCTCTCATAATCATATGGTGGTTTTGGGACGTTAAACCCCACAAATCATCATCAGGTCACAAACATGGCGTTGGAGAGAACAATATTTATTGCTGTTATCATCATGGCATATGATCATAAACCCCCCCCAAAAAAAACTGTTGCAATGACCATAACCCGCAAAAAAGATCCATTAAAATTTCAATACAATTTAGGCAATCACTCCTTGTTATTTTTTCACAATATGCGTACCTTGGCCTTGTAATAACATCTGATTTAAGATGGAATGATCATATAGCTTACATTGAAAAAAAGGCTCTGAGAAAACTAGGTTACTTGAGACACACACTAGCTAAAGCAACCCGTGAAATAAAGCTCGCATATAAAACATACGTAATACCATTACTAGAATACGTGTCGTCTGTATGGGATCCCCACACACAAGCTAGCATAGATAAACTTGAATCAGTACAGTGAAAGGCTGTACGGTTCGTGTTTAATGCCTACCGTCACAACACATCTCCATCAGCTCTTTTGGAACGCGCAAAGCTCGAAAGTTTGCAATGAAGACTTTATCACGAAGCAATAAATTGTTCTACCTTATATATAATGACAAGCTAGCAATTCTGAAAACCAACTACATTGAACCAATTTTGTGCCGTGAAACACGCTCCTCCCGCCCTAAAAGAATTGGTGAGCTCCTCTGTCATGCTGGCATATACAGGTACTCTTTCTTTCCCCGCTCAATAAACGAGTGGAACTAATTGCCACCAGAGCACCTGGAAAGTGTCGACCTGAAATCATTTCTCTGTGCGTTACCTGCTCCATCTCTCCTATATTTACACTCCCACGTCCTTTACAGTGCCATTCTTCTTGTTCCCATCTTAGTCTTAGTAAGAATGTTTGTCTCACCAATTTGCCACGCTTGCAATTATCATGCCCGAATGTATTTTTTCCATTGTGTGCCGATTATACTTGTACTTGATTGTTTTTCCTTCTTTTCTCTTTTTTTTTGTGAACAGCAAGATCTGCTGAGCACTACTTTCGCGCAGTTTTTGATATTGCTGTGTATAGCACGGCATTTGTGGTCTACATTTTCTGTTTTCTTTCTATGTGAATTAACGTGTTCCTTCTCTTTTTCTACACAATATTTGTACTGCTGTATAATATACTCAATATTATATTGTACTTTTAGCATATTGTTGTGTTGATTGTACTGCCTACTGCTGTCCAAAGTCTGGCATTCAGACTGGCAGTATTCTCCTAAATAAATAAATAAATCACGTATGTGCCAAGTCTCCGGCATTGTCCAGAAGACTCCCAGATTTCGATTGTTTCATCCGTTTGTACGGTTGCCACGAAAGTCTCTCGGAAATCAGAATTTGTGTGCGAGATCTCGCCGCATTGACAAAAATGCAGGTCGGTTCAATCCAGGCTTTTCGCGAGCCCACAGCATTTTATTATAAATGAATTTCAGAGGCGTTCACCTAAATGTACAGTAGAGTCTTAATGATGTCAAACCATGGCAGATACGAATTCGTGAAATTTCCAAGCCGAATTCTTTGTCCGTTGGGCCAAAATTTGATGTTCCAAACACTTTTCCTAATCGCGGCGTCTGATATGAACTTAAGTAATGAAACCTTCAAACGAAAGCCGATCGAGAGCAGCGTGCTCGAAGCTTCGAAAGTACGCGTGCGACCAGCGCATGCAGCGTCTTCTACAGTGCATGTGGTTGTTGTTGCCACAACCACTGCGGATGATACCGCGGTCATTCGGCACGATCATGTTTGGCGACGACGTTACTGACAGAACTCCGAAAGTGTGCGTGCGGCCAACGCTCGACTAGTCAAAGCAACGCTGCTTTCTGCAAACTCTGTGGACAAAAAAAAACTGCGGCAGTTGCGGTCATAGATAGCATAAAACAACTTAGTTTTGAAGGCACGTGGATTAAAAATAAAATTACCGTTTGCCGCAACTGCCGCACATGAAATTGCAGTCGCGGCGATGTGATAGCGATCTATGAGCTCTAATTAAAGGTGCCTGAGGCTGTGGTAAATTAAACGTGGTAAAGACGCAAAAAAGGCTAGAAGCATTCTGGCGTTCCTGTCCAAAGAATTTAGCAGTGAGCAAAGTCAAAGCTTTGACCCGCGCTTTCACGGAAGCCAGCTGCACCGTCCCGTCCATTCACGTGTCAAGACACGCGCGAGTTGTTTTGACGGGTATAAATTTTTTCGCTAGTTATTTTGATGACACGAAATTTCGGGAGCATTTGTGCTCCTCCTTCGAGACTCACCTTAGTGGGTAACCCTACCCTCGTGTGTTCAGTCACTCCAAATCATTACGAGACCACAACGCCGATGTTTGCACTTGCATTTGGGACTCTACCCCCCTCTCCTGTTTTTCGCTCTTTTGGTGCCAAAATGGCGGAAAAAAATTCAGCCCTTTAATTTGACTTATGGCGACAAAACATGATTATACTTGTCAATAAAGGCAAATCCATCACAGCTACAAATTAAAAAAAAACGATAACCCCACCCTCTTTCCTGCTCGGGGGTTTTACAAATTTCTCTGTTGCCAGTATGACAGGTATGCAATAGGAAAATACGGGTAGATAAGAAAATGCATACAAGGTGCCTTGTTTATAAGAGACATCTCATATAAAAGACAAGAATTACTACCCAGCGCATGTCTTTTATAAAGGGTGCGGGGGTGCTATCGTCTTTGTAAAGTTGTTTTTGCCTCGTGGTGAATGTGTGTCTCGCGGATAAGCTGCATTTAGCGTTAACAAGCATTGAGAGGTAGGTGGCATTGTGCTTGCAAACCTTTATCGTCATCATCATCATAATTGGCTCCCTAGTGCTGGCCGTGCCGCCTTGCGGCGAGGCTGGGTGATGCCACAAGAGATGTGAGCGGTGCTGTTTGGCGTGTAGCGGCTGGCGCGAATAGTTCGTCTCCCGTGGTGGGTCTATGGGGACGGCGCCATGGGTTGTCTGCCATGAGCCCTTTGTGTTGACTTGAACGGGGGCGTTGCCGCCTTTGCGTTACCTTGTATTTGTTATGTTAAGTGTATTGCAAGATTTTATAAGGTTGTATTTAGAGTGCTGATCACTAGTGTTGTATTTGATTCGGCTGATAATGTCGCAATGTAAAAGGAGCTCAAATAATGTTTAGTTTGGTTTGATTCGGCTATGTCAACTGTCATCGTGTGTTTAGAGAGCGTGCCTCATTGCGATATCCCACAAGGGGTTCAACTATATCCATGAAAATGTATGATCTGAAGTTTCAGTTTACGAAAAATGAAGGTGACACTGTTATTAGAGACATAATTATCCAGCGAGGGAGGTGCATGTATCCCAAGTTTATGCAATTTCAAATAAGGACTGTTGAATGTTGTAAAATGTTGTAATATTGTGTGTACTACTATCTATCCCTAAGGCACGCTCACAAATGATCAAATCATTGAGATTAGAACAAACTGTTTTGATTGTACTCTATAGAGATAACATACACATCATGCCATTCAACCTCCTTTTCAACAAATAAATGATTGATCAATGGGTCTATGTGGTACCTCTGTAGTATAACCTCTATACTATAACCTTGCCATTTTGTAGATGCTCTTTCCAAAATTTGGCAGTTGTCCCACACTAGATCACAGATTTACTACTTAAATGGAACAATGCTCTCTTGGTTTTGTGTTTCAGTAAAGCAAAAAGCTTTTATTAATCGGACTCAAAATTTTCACAGCTCTCAGTAAATGGAACCACAGAAACAAGAAATCATGAACATTGTGGCAAAACCAACTACTAGTCCACCTGGCTCAACTAGAACTATCTTAGCCCAACTTAAAATCCCTGTGAATAAAATAATGGCCAGTCAAATTGGCCTATCAATTCATTATATCTATGTTATTTAAATTAAGGTTTTTCTCTAAATACATGGCGCATATGATTTATCTGTGACATGATTTCTGATCCTTGCAGCTCATTGACACCATGGCCCTCCACCTTCCTCCAGAAAAGCTGCTGCCTCCTCTGGTGGGTTCTCATAATTGTGAATCCTTCTGAACAAAACTACCTACATTAGTCAAGCCTGTTATTGAAAAGCATTGGATGATAGTAAGCAATATTGTTTCAAGATAAATTTTTGAAGTTTGAGCTGAGAATAATTTCTGAGGTGAAGTCTTAACCATATCAAAATTTTTCTCACCTTATCAAGCATTCACCTTCCTCTAAACTTATGTCTTGTTTGTCTTTCTGCATTATGAAGGACATTTGTGAATGGGTTTGGAGTGTTTGAAATGAGTATATCAAATGAAAACACTAAAGCAGGCATTGGTACTTCACTGAGTTATACTGTAGTGTTTGAGGGAATCCTTTGAATAGCGGAGCATGCACATGCAATATCAAGCAATACAGTTTATAACATAAAAACAGGACGTCCTGTAGTTGTTGAGGCCTTGCCCTTCACAGTGTGTGCAGGAGATAAGACCAGCAGTAAACTGTCAACTTTGTGAAATATTCTGAGTGTCTCAACCCCACCGACTTGTGCTAAGAAAATTCTTCAGGAAACGATTAGCATTGGGAAAAACGCGCTACTTTGCAAATGGGACATTCTTAGAGGAGCCTTGCAACACTTTTAAGTTACAAGTTACCTTACAGTTGGACCCTGTTGCCTTGCAAATCTCCTGCAAAATTTTTTTGGAGGGGGACATGATGATAAGAATCGTAAATTTGGGCAAAATTTTCTATTTCTCAATTTAGTTATTTTTTTGCTATCCTCAGGCCTCGTTTTACTTAGCAGTAAAATATTAGAACTGAATGCATTGTAGAAATGGAGCAAAAAAAGCATTTAAGGGTGTGTTCAAATAAGATCAAACGTTAGGTCTGGGTCACCATTCCCAATTTTGACAAAATTTACTGTGGGCTTAGGCATTCGAGTCAGAACAGTGGTTTCAGGGTTAGCATTGTGAAAAAAAAAAAAATGTTCACCGTTAAAAAAAGGAAAAGAAAGGGCTGTTTCATTGATTTCGCGATGTCTGAACTTTGAAGGCACCTAAGTAAAAAACGGTGCACTTTCTACACAGTATTTATTATCATAAAAGAACTAGTGATTTGGGATGCTATGAGTCTATCATCTTTCTTACTTGTTATAAAATTTTAGAAGAAAAAAGTCCCAAACATGGCAAACTGCTCAAAATACCTGTATTTCTGGAATTTATTGCTGCAAACACTTTAAGCTGAAAATAATGAAACTTAGTACATATTAACTTTGATACTTTAGCTTTCTAAAATTTTAAATAACTTTTGTGGTTTTATCGCACCTCGTTTAACTTCATTATTGGAGTGAAACGTAAGTGCTTTGCCAAAAGCACCATAGTTTAAACATATTTTGCTCAAAAAGCCATTTTCAATTAAAAAAAAATTCTTTTGATTGAGTTCAGGGACCTCATCTACCATACTGCTTAAAAAACATTGCATTATTTAGGTTGCTAACAAGTTTTAGCGCTAACACAGCCACAAGTCGACTTTGTGGCTGAGTTGTTTGTTATGTACTGAAAATGAGGTATAAGTCATTCCAAATAATTTTACGCAATATAATTACAAAACAGCAGCTCCACAACAAATGCGCAGTCCGGGTGCACGGATCAGAAAACCTTGTCTTCCGATCAACCTCTTGACAAGTCTGCGGGAGCAGCCGCTTGATGCTAGAGGCACTCGCATTGCATGAGGGCACTGCTTTCAGAGGACGAATGAAATAAGGAATGCATCAAAGTGAAGGTTATTAAGTGCAAGGGGCATATTATACAGTGAAGACTTTGCCAGGAATCTTGCAGTGAGCGCCTTACGCTCATATGTTGCTTCCTCTCTTTTGTTGGCCTAAAAATGATTAGGCTCACTCTTTCAGCAGCATATGATACAAAAGCAAGCCTGCGACACCTAAAGAAGCTATCAGTTGTGTTCACAATGGTTCAGCAACTCAAACTGCTCTTGCTCTACTTTTTGCACCAGAACACTGATGCCAACCGGTTGTCAACTGGAGTGTGTCCAAGTGCTTTGCTTAAATAAATAACGGCGGGGCTGCAAGGCGGACTTGGTCGTTGTTTTTTTTAAATTAAAAATGGCCTTTCTAAGAAAAATTTTTTCAAGTTTTGGTCTTCTTAGTAAACAACTTTGTTCATCACAATTCCGAAGCAATATGAATCGCGATAAAACTGTGAAAGTTATTTAAAAACAAAGCTAAATTATCAAAGTAATATATTTACTTGTGTAGTGAACCAACTCGCATATTGAAGCCACTCTCTTTCTTGGTCCTTGATAACAAAAAACATCTATTTTTTAATGTATCTGTTCACTTTATTTTGGTGAGATAGCCAGTGCCGTTGACGATCAAAACAACATTAAGTCACACCAGCATATCGCAAGATAACGACACAATGAACTAGTTTAAAAACCATGCTTAATAGTTCTAAGCAACGCGGACGACGTCAATCAAAATTTAAAAGTCGCGCCTTTTGTAGTAGAGTGCCATCTGACGAATACAGAAGAAAGCTCTTTTCGTATAGTGCCACACAGGCACAGCGGCACGAAAACAAAGCGCAACCACGCCGACGCTGTGTGCGCCACCATCCGACACTGAGTTTTTGTTGTTCAGTTTGTTGTAGCGAACTTTGTTGGACACCTGCTGTTCAGGGCACGATTAACCGGTACGCTAGCTACACGGCCTTGTTCAAACATAAAGTTAGTCGAGCATGCGCTGTAGCGTGGGAACCAAGCGACTGGACGACGCTTTAGTGTCAATTCATGCGCATTCATTACTGGAGAAAACAAGAAGAGCTTCAGGCTACAAAAAAGTCCACCATGCATTTCGCAGGCCAAAACAAGGAACAATTTCCTCTTGTGAAAAGGAACGTTCTCGAATACAATAAAACCTCCTTTATTCGAAGTCTCTGGGACCCCGAGAAATCTTTGAATTAAGTGGGTTTTTGAATTAACAGAACATGTAAAAAGTCGGATGCAAGGAACTTAAAATTATTCAATTTAATTGGGGCTGGTTGTTTGCTGCACCGGCTAGTTTGTGGTCCCAAGGGTTATGTTTTCTAGAAATACCTGGTCACAATTTCGTCGCAAGCAAGGGAGAATTCAGCCTTAACTGCTGTCACTGAAAAAAAAAAAAAAAAAAAAACCGTGATCAATTGAAATGAGCATTTGAGAAAAAGTAGACATCTTCACTGCAACACAGCAGTGACACGCGGGCAGCATGTTACCTGGTCCTCGCTGCATCAGCACGTCATGATGCGACCATTGGCCCAGTCTGTCTGGTAAAATAAATAATTTAATAATGAACAGTGCGACGAAATTCGTGGTGTGTCTTGGCTGGAAAACAACACAATTGAAGCTTTCAACTCGAGTTTTCGAAGTAGGTGTTGCAGGCAAGAACTCCGCCAGTAGTGCAAGTGCGCAAACCGCTGGAGCAACCGGCAGTGGGAGGGTCGCATACATCGCGGATTTCTCGAAATCATCTTTTATTAATTTCTTTAAGTTCCCAGAAAGCATCGATAAATCTGACGTTACGATAAGCGTACGACAGACTGCCTGCACGTCACTTCTGTATTGCACTGAAGCACGTTTTGTTTTCTACAGGTGCATATTTCAGCTGGTCACAGGACCATTTTTTATTTATAATTTTATTTTTCATGCTGGAAGTAGTGAGGCAGGACTGCTTCAGCTACCACTCATTAGTATCGCTAAAGTACAATGCCTAGTGACTCTTAAAGGCCGTTGTTTTTGTGGAATTGCGGTGAAATCGGGATGGGAATGTGGCACACTGCACTCAAAGTTCTCGAATTATCCGGACTTGTGCTGACCGCCGCTTCAAATTATCCGCTCAGACTTGCATTGCAAAATATGGGACTGCAGAGAAACTTCGAAATAAGTGGAATATCAAAATAAGCAGGTTCAAATTAACAAGGTTTTCCTGTAGTTTTAGAGGCTCCATAGTTCTGCCACTGAATTGAAGGCCAGCAGTGGTTGGCCAGCGAAGTTAATGTCATTGCGTGAAATTTTTAATGCGATAGCGTTAAACAGCTTGTTTTGCAGAGATTCTATTGTCGGCGTTGTTGGTTGTGAGCAAAAAATTATCTTATGCGGGACCAAAAAATCAAGAACGATGCAAATAAAATAATGAAAAATCCCGGAGCAGAGTGGGGACCGAATCAGGGATGTTAGGGTCTGAGTGGGGATCGCAGCCGGGTCACTTAAGTGGCAAGCAGATGTTCTACCACATGACCATGCCTCTGCTTGTGAAAATAGTGAAAAGGACTTTCTTTGCTTGGAAATGCGGTTAAAGTAGCTTTCATGGTTCACAAACACATGCGTTCTGTATACATGCTTCACAATGCAAATGAAATATTGCAGTAATAATGCATGGTACAAGCGTACATTGCCAACGGGTGTCAGAATATGTGATTATCATGATGACTCTGTGGTTGAGAGCTGATATCCCACTACAGAAGGCACACACACTACTGCACCTATTCCTTTAAGGCCACGTATAGTCAGTGCATACCAGATTTTAAAAGATGTTGTGCACTAAGTGTTTGAAATACGCTCTAGGAACGGGTTGCTGTCACGTTCATCTCCTAAAGGCTAAGCTTTAGGGTTCCTTAATTTTTGCTGTTATAACTTCCATGACGTTTTTTCTCCTGCATAATGAATCCTCCCCTAAATTGGCATCAACCTTTTTTTAATAAAAAGGTGGGTTCATTACGCAAGTAAATACAGTATGTACCGATTTAATTATCCCAAGTTCAAGTTGCTTGCAGCAATAATTCTGAAAAACAGGTATTTTGTGCAATTTGCTATCCTTGTGATTTCTTCCTCTAAAGTTTTTCAACAGATAAAGAAAATGATAAACTCATAACATTCCGAATTGATTTTTCTTTGACTTGACGGGAATAGATACTGTGATTAAGGAGTGCACCATTGTTATTTAGGCACCTCGAAAATCAGAAATTGGAAATTGTCGAAAAAATGTT